TACGGTGTAGATAAACGTTTGCCTTATGAGTTGTTATATTCTAATCCGAAACCAAATTACAACCCTGATGATTTCATAGCAACTCGTACCAGCTTAGCTCAAAGTGTTTTTAGAAGAATCCGTGAAACACTTCATAAATCAACAGCAGAATTTACAAGAGTCGCAAACACTCGAGCAAAGCCATCCAAAATCAAAGTAGGTTCGAGAGTTATGCTGACTAACAAAACGTCTACAATGCCAAAGCTTGATCAAAAGTTTGTTGGTCCTTATCGAGTAATTGAACATATCACTGGTAATAAGTATAAGGTTAGAGAGATTAGTACTGGTCAGTATAAAGAATCGCATTTAGATCATATGAAGTTAGTATGTGATGATAATGATGTTCCAACCCAGACTAATGTGACAGACTCTGACAATCCTCCTGATCCTGTACTCTCTTCCTCTGATACTCAGTCAGACGATCAACCTGAATGTCGTTATTCCCTACGTACACGACAGGTATTGAGAAATCCTCAAGTATCATTTGTCACTTCCAATTCAGATTTGCCTCAAATACAGCATGAGTTAGCCAGTGCTACAGAGTTTGATCCTGCCAGAGATGACACCCATTCTGCATATGTCAATCTCACCCTAGCAGAGTTGGGGTTAAATGTAAATAACCTGTATAGATGAATAATTCCAGTATCAACTTATCAGTATTCAAGAAATTTTTTTTTTTTTGTGTTCACATTCTCTCCGAATTCTGAGAGTTAACAGTCTAGATTTGAGTGCACCGAATCTGCCTTTCTGTTAAAAACTCTTTGTATATATTCCTTCCTCAGAATCCATAGATCACATGAATACAGATCGATCGATCAAATTTTTTTTTATCACTTCTATTGTGTAATCTCAACGTTGAGTTTCATTCAATGAGTTTCATTCGTTGAGTTTCTTCGATGCGTTGTGCTATATTATACCTTGTATTGCATTACAGTTTCAGTTACGTAAGCTTCCATTCCAATGTTCTACTTATGTATGTTATAATGTTCAATTGTTGTGTACTTTGACATTGTATAGAATCAGCCCAAGCCGTATACCTGCCATCTCTAGTTTGTATTAGTTGTATGTCAGGACGACATACGTTAGCGTCGCCGAGCTCTCAGTAGTAGTACCAGTTACCAGTAACCAGTGTACCAGTAGATGACTCACTACCAACCGTCTCTGCGTGAATCACTGCCTGTATTCATAGTGTGCTGACCACAGCAGTATTTCAAATACCCCCTTACATATGGGTACTGGGGTTAGTTAGTTATACGAGAGTGAGCAAGGAGGCAGGTCACGGCTGTTTGGCTCTTCCATACTTACCGTTATAATTATATGTACTTCCAGCCTACGTGAGTATTACTTTACCCTATCCACGTGTTCGAACCCCCACATGATAGATACACTTTTAATTTCCTCAAGTTTTTCATATCTGAGCAGTTGAAATTTCTCTTCATCGAAATTCATATTGTTTTGAGTGGCCCATTTGAAAACTTGGTTGATGTCAGCTTGGAGTCTTGCAGTGTCTTCGATGGAAGACACTGTCATGGCAGTTCGGGTGTCATCCACAAAGGAAGACGTGGAGCTATGGCTTACATCTCTGTCTATGTCAGATATAAGGATGAGGAATAGGATTGGAGCGAGTTCTGTGCCTTGTGGGACAGAGCTTTTCACCGTAGCCACCTCAGACTTTACCATGTTTACTATTAATCTTTGTGTTCTATTTATTAGGAAGTTATAAATCCATCTTCCAACTTTTCCTCTTATTCCTTTATCACGCATTTTGTGTGCTATTACACCATGGTCACACTTGTCGAAGGCTTTTACAAAAGTCTGTGTATACTACATCTGCATTTTGTTTATCCTGTACAGCATCCAGGACCTTGTCATAGTGGTCCAGTAGCCGGGACAGGCAGGAGCAACCTGCTCTGAACCTGTATTGCCCTGGGTTGTATAACTGATGGGTATGCAGGTGGTTGGCGATCTTGCTTCTTAGAGCCCTTTCAAAGATTTTTTTTGATATGGGATGTTAGTGCTATCGGTCTGTAGTTCTTTGCAATTGTTTTACTGTCACTTTTGTAGATTGAGGCTATGTCTGTTGTTTTTAGTTAGTGTAGGTTGACCCCTGTGTCCATGCTTCCTCTTGATAGAATGCTAAATACACGTGACAGGGGCCTCATGCAGTTCTTGATGAACACGGAGTTCCATGAGTCTGGGCCTGGGGCAGAGTGCATGGGCATGTTATTTATTGCCTTTTGGAAGTTAAGTGGTGTTAGGATATTATCAGAGTTTACATTTAGATTGTAGACCCTTAGTCTGGGTAACGGCTCGCTGTACACTGAGTCGTATTGGGACATTAGTATCTCCCCCATTTTTTTGCTGCCATCTGTGTATGTCCCATCTCGCCTAAGCAGGGCCCCAATACTGGATGTTGTTTTACCCTTAAATTTGGCATAAGAGAAGAAGTATTTTTTTTTCAATTTCCTTTATGGCTTTTAGTTCTTCCTGAGATTCTTGTCTCCTGTAAGATTCTTAAACTTAAGTTCGATATTTGCTATATCTCTGACCAGTGCCTCCCTTCGTATTTCAGATATATTGGACCCTCTGTGATTCTTCGCCTTCGCCTGTATAGGGAACGTTTCTCTCTTTCTAGTTTACATCTTTTCTTTCTCTTTCTTAATGGAATATTCCTTGAGCAGACCTCAAGAGCCACAGAGTTATTTTTTCTCTAGCAAAGGTTTGGCTCCGTTTTGTTTAGGATATCTTCCAAGCTTGTTTCATTTAGGACATGGTTGATAAGTTCCCAGTGTATGTTTTTGCTACTGGAGTTGAATTTTGTGAAGACAACCTCATGGCTAATCACATTTTGCTGGTCATTTACCCTGTGCATACAAGTCTGTGCCTCTATTATGTTGTAATCTAAGTGAATTGTCTTTGATACGGTTATGTTATGTATCAGATCGTCGTTGTTAATGAAGATGAGGTCCCACGTATTTTCTAGTCTTGTAGGCTCTAATATTTGCTGGTTTAAGGTGAACTTGGTGCAGAAATTTAATAGTTCTTGTGTGTGTGTGTGAATTTTCATCTGATCTGCCTCCTGGGGTGATCTCTGCTAAAACTCTGTTCGCTATACTCCTCCATTTTAGGTATCTCAAGTTGAAATCTCCAAAAGCAAGATGATTTGGGGCAGGAGTAGGGAGATTTTTCGGACAGTAGTCAAGTTTCAAAAGTTGTTCCTGGAATTGCTGGGAAACAGCATCCAAAGTCTTGTATACAACCGCAGTGAGAAGGTTTTGGTTTTCAGTCTTTACTGCCAGAATTTCAACTACATTATTTGAGGTGTTTAGTAGTTTTGAGCAAATGAGCGACTCTGTGACGTGCAAGCCAAATCTTCCCTTATTGCTTGTTCAGCTTGTCGAATCTGAATTGGTTATAACGTGGGATCCATATTTCGATGTCAAAATGATTCTTTATGCGAGTTTGTGATAGCTGCAAACATTGCATTTGACTCAGTGAGCAGTCCCTTGATGTAACGAATTTTCTTCTTTGTAGACGGCTAAAGACCTTGTATGTTTGCAAAGATAAATATTGTAATAATGATGGAATTTACGAGTGTTTTATTTTCAAGCTTTAATATTTGTTGTTGAGGAATGGAGGCCAATAACTGTGCCTCTCTTCATGAAGTGCTTTCAGTTGGTGTAGGATTTCTGTCATTTCTTGCCAATCATTTTCTCCTTCCTGCCACTAAAAAACCTCCTTCTCTGGAGAGGTTATGGCTCCCCTCTTCATTCATGGAAACTTTCTTCGAACTTAGCAATCCTTCGATCAGTGAGAGAAGCTTACCTGCATTACCGAATTCTGTCACTTTAGCCGTCTCCAGTGAGGGATTACCCAAATTTTCATTGGCAGTAAATTCGTAAGACAGTACAACCGCCAATGAATCTGTGTTGTGATACTTTAAATAATGATCATCAAGATGGCTTCTGAGAGAATCTAATATTATCGATCCTAATAATTTGCCCACTTTTGACGTCAAGTTGACTGAACGTTTATTTGTTGGTAGTGAACTATTTCTCTACTACTAAATTGCAATAATGTATAGAAAAAAACTGGTTAGCAATTCACTGGTTTCCCTTTTGCATTCTTTAAAAACCCTCACAGAAAATCAGAGTCAAGGACTTCTAGTCCTTTAATCAGATTATTTCTTCAATATCTGCATCTGTAGCAATTATAAAACAAAGTAATTACCTTCCACCTTAATTATTTTTAACCTTTCTGGCCAATGTTATCATTCACTGTTTCCATATTTTCATACATACATAATTTCATTGTCTGACTACATCATATGAGGTTTGAGGCATGAGCCATTAAACTTTTAAAGTGTAATTTAATATACCTATTTAAAAGCAAAAAGCAAATGGTGCTATACATAACATTCGGGCATCGTAAATGCTCTCTTCATACGGTCAGCTTGAAAAGGAAATTAGAACAATAATTTGGGTGGCTCTCAAGTTCTGTTGCTGCTCGTAATGCTATTAGTAATGCTGACTGAGAGCCAGCATTACTTGGGATTTCTCCACCATTTTCTTGGACCCATTCTGTTCGTTATTCGGTTATCTATGTATGAAAGTCTATCTGGGCCTTCCTATTGTGGGCTATTCCTGCATTTTCATTTAATTTTCCAGAACAAGTAAAGGCAACATTTACCTTCTTCATGGCGTAGTAGCATAAATTTTTGTTCTTCACCTGCGTTGAGCAGTAAACCCGCCCCTCCTCACTGCTGTCAAGTTAGATGGATAGGCTGTGCAGTTAACTGGCTAGTCAATATCACCTCCCCATGAAGAGTAACTAATGCACAGTAAACTTACAAGAGTCGATTGATATAACAATATTCTCATTTTAATATACCCATGTATTCAAACATGTTTTGAGTTATTATGATGTTCAGGAACATAATATACAAAGAGGTTATCAAAACATTTGTCTTTAATAATATTTATTTTGAGATGTTGTTCGTTTATGAACTTTCTCAAGTAAAATATTAAAATATGTTGTTAACACAGTGTTAATTAATGCTGCCTGATGAAAGTGATGAAAATATACAGTCTTCAGTTGATTTAAACAAGCAGTTGGAAGTTGTATGATATATAAGAGAGTAGTTAGAAGATCTGTGATGTCTACACCACTAGTTAGGTGGCTACACTGGTACTGTAGGTAGAAGCTCTGGTAATTAGACCACTGGGTATGAAGCATCAGTGGCAATACCACAGTTGTTGCTCCTATTACGAGACATCTTAATGTAACCACTCTCACCCCAGCTTGTGCCCCAGGAGTTCTTGACAAGGAAGTACTCATCTCCGCTTTCAGTACCATAACCAACTACCAGTACAGCGTGGTCAAGTTCAGTTGATGAACATTTTGACTCGTAGTACACACCTGCGGAATAAGTACACACTCAGAGAAGAATAGATCATGACCCAAAAAATATTTTTTATATTGTCTTTTTTCTTAACTGTTGTGGGCAGTATATTATATGGATCCACACACGTTTTTGACGGTATATCTTAGACTATCTTAAGATGAAGGCAGTTGGTAAAATCTAGTTCCATATGCACTATGCACTTTTGGATCTTTGTAACAGAAATTGTGAGTAGACAGGTTTGTTTGAAGGATATAGTTAACACATTAAGAAATACAATGAAAAGTAAAAACGTAAGTACTACATAGAAGGGAGGGTAGAGGGGCGTCTCGAAGCCTTCTACCACTTATATATTACCAGTCCAGGATATTTTAATTCAGAAAATAGAGATAACACAAAACAATCAAGGTATTTACATTAAATGATACATACCTTTCATTATATATGCAACGAGAGATTTACATCTCTACGCATATATAAGGTGAGATCACTATACCTATGAGCATATATGCACTGTAAATTATTTCATGAACAATGAGATACAAACACCTTTCAGCATATATTCTTCTGAGCGTATCATATAAATTAAGAAACATGCTCCTCTCAGCATATATACAATTTCAGTACATTTACTATATTAGGATATACTCACATGTAGGAGCATATACGAAGTGCAAGACACAAGTTTAATAAGTGTATACTTAGTGCTGTCAGTGGTACTTCATAAACACTATGAGTTTACAACTTCCCACTGAATGTAATAATACTGACCACTGCCGTAGAGCTGGAAGGAGAGGCGGGAGGCATCGATGGCCACAGAGATGGGTCCTTCACTAGCAGCTGCTGATTCCAGAGAAGTCTCACTTCCCTCTGGTATGGTCACATAGCTGCTCAATGTTGCTGCAACATTGTTGGAATTGAATTTGCAGGTTCCATCCTAAAGTGAATAAAAGAGGAATTAGTTTTTATTATCTCCTTCTTTAAGCACTAACTTCAGCAGAGTGCTTGGGATTCGAACACGTGTTCCAGTGTTCCAAATCTATGACGTATCATGATAACCATTAAAGCTACAGTGATACAAAAGAAGAGTGAGTTCATTCTTATAAGAGTAAGGTCACTATGTTAAAATGTTTCATTATGTCGCTACAAATTTTCAGTACACACACACACACACACACACACACACACACACAAACACACACACACACACACACACACACACACACACAAACACACACACACACACGCACACACACACACACACACACGCGCACACACACACACACGCACACACACACACACACACACACACACACACACACACACACACACACACACACACACACACACACACACACACACACACACACACACACACACAAATGCGCGAGTGCGCGTGCAAGGAACTATTCTTATTATATAATCAGGGGGAGCGATAAAACCCATAGGATTTTACAGAGCCTGTGGGGGAGGGGGAAATAAAGGCATTCAGGCTCAATTCAGGGAACTGGAACACAGAACCAATTCCCTAGATCATGAGCCCCTCACCAGCGTCATGGGACCTCCCTAGAGGTGACACTATTCTTATACAGTGCTCTAAGCACTTGGAGTTCTTGTTACAGTCCTAGGATATTCTAGGCTGTCATTGTATGTGATATCCCGAGCTGTCATTGTATGTGATAATTCAAGCTGTCACTGTATGTGATAGGGTCAGTGAACATACCTACAAGAGTATTACAAGATTTCCAGAGTCTGAATAACCTGATTAGGTTAAAAATTTTACAATTTATTATGGAATGTGAAAGTTTTTATTTTTCTGGAAGGTGAGTGAGGGGCAGCTCTGGCTGGTCAGCGCTGCTGACATTGTTGATAAAATGATCACAACAAACAGTTGCGATCAGTTTTATGATTAAGATTGTGACTTTAATCAGAAAAATGCAAATATCTGGTCTCTGTTGGCCTAAGTGCAGTGAAAAGGTCATCAATGACTGATTTGGAAAAGAAAGAAAGATAAAAGAAAGTAGAGAGTCAAAATCTCCAACAGCTGGTGTAGCAGGAAGTAAGCTGTGAATACAGTTGGTATCATAAGGTCCAGGTTATGGCCACAATACAAAGGAAAATCGTGTTAATTCCACAGTATTGATAGATTAACTGGGACAAAAAACTGGAATGTATAAGTGAAATAGACATCTTAAGACTTTACAAGAAGACCCCACGAGAAGGACTGTAACTAGTGAGACAGTAAATGGTAAACAATCATTTATATGTGGAGCAATTTGGTCTGTGTCTTTTGTTTTGTGTCGCCCAGCTTAGTGCCAGGAGATAAGTAGAGGCAGCCCTGACAATATTTAGTAAGTCAATAGAATATCTAAATAATTAGGACTAATTTTCAACTATATGGACTGTGATGAGCGTATCTATGGGTGTTTCTAAAGGATCTCATAAGCATTACTTTTAAGCAATATAACAGAAATTGTTACATATAATTATGTAGGAAAGGAGGGAAAACAGTAGCCTAGCATAACATAAAGTGACTAACTTGCAAAAACATGGGCAGTCCTAAGTGTACCTCTTATGGGTATTTTTAAAAGATTTTATGTACATCAGTAAATTATATAATAATAACTGTTGATATATAATTAATTGGGAATAGAGTGAGAGATAATTTTAAAATCATCAGAAGAGTGGAGATCCCAAACCTAACGTAAACAGTGACTAATTTTCAACTATATGAGCAATGTTGAGTGTATTATGGGAGTTTTTCAAAATATTTCAGGTGCACCAGTATTATAATAGTAAATGTTATTATGTAATTAACCAGGAATAGAGTGACAGATAATTCTTAAAATCTTCAGAAGAGTTGTGTAGCCTAACGTACATACAGTGAACCCCCCTTCTCAAAGACAGTCACAAACACACTAACACACTAATACGTGCACACACGCACGCCAACGCACACATAAACACACATTCACTCACTATTAGAGTACTAGAGTAACTTACCACTGCTGTGTAGGGGTAAGCTGTCTCTTTCTCAGATCCATGGTCCCTAATGTACTTAAAGGCTTGGTTGACCCAACCACCGTTACAACCCTGGTTGAAGTACAGTCCACCAGCACAGTCAACCAGTTGCTGCTCTGACAGGCTGATCAGTTTACCAGTGGCGAAGTAATGCTGAGCTTCCAGGGAACCAGTCTGTGACAGGAAGGGAGAAGCTGCTTAAGTTCTTCGTTACATCACTGCTAGTAAATGGCTTGTGGAAACTTAACTCCCGCGTCTGTTCCACCCAAACTAACTTTTACGTATTTTATATACTTGTTTCTTGTAGTAGTAAGGGAGTAATATATGTGCTAAATTGTTTTTATTCTCAGAAATAACTACTGGATTATAAGTTAAATAAAATAATAATTGAACAATAATTTACTAACAGATGGAACAAACAGTAGTAGCAAATTCTACAATTCTATTTTTTTAACATAATCTTACTAACAAAAAATTAACTTTACAGTAATCTGATGTATTCAGAAACTACTTAAAATAGCTATAGATAATCATATCTTCTGAATAAGCCTATGAAAAACAATTTAGTAATTTAAATAAATTGAAACATATGTAAAAGGTTGATGTTTGGCAAGAGATTCCAAAGTTCACCAGGATGGTCACCACGATGGTCACCACGATGGTCACCAGGATGGTCACCAGGATGGTTATCACGATGGTTACCACGATGGTCACCACGATGGTCACCACGATGGTCACCACGATGGTCACCATGATGGTCACCACGATGGTCACCACGATGGTCACCACGATGGTTATCACGATGGTTACCACGATGGTCACCACGATGGTTATCACGATGGTCACCACGATGGTCACCACGATGGTCACCACGATGGTTATCACGATGGTTACCACGATGGTCACCACGATGGTTACCACGATGGTCACCACGATGGTTATCACGATGGTCACCACGATGGTCACCAGGATGGTCACCAGGATGGTTATCACGATGGTTACCACGATGGTCACCACGATGGTCACCACGATGGTCACCACGATGGTCACCATGATGGTCACCACGATGGTCACCACGATGGTCACCACGATGGTTATCACGATGGTTACCACGATGGTCACCACGATGGTTATCACGATGGTCACCACGATGGTCACCACGATGGTCACCACGATGGTTATCACGATGGTTACCACGATGGTCACCACGATGGTTATCACGATGGTCACCACGATGGTTATCACGATGGTTACCACGATGGTCACCACGATGGTTATCACGATGGTCACCACGATGGTTATCACGATGGTTACCACGATGGTCACCACGATGGTTATCACGATGGTCACCACGATGGTTATCACGATGGTTACCACGATGGTCACCACGATGGTTATCACGATGGTCACCACGATGGTTATCACGATGGTTACCACGATGGTCACCACGATGGTTATCACGATGGTCACCACGATGGTTATCACGATGGTTACCACGATGGTCACCACGATGGTTATCACGATGGTCACCACGATGGTTATCACGATGGTTACCACGATGGTCACCACGATGGTTATCACGATGGTCACCACGATGGTTATCACGATGGTTACCACGATGGTCACCACGATGGTTATCACGATGGTCACCACGATGGTTATCACGATGGTTACCACGATGGTCACCACGATGGTTATCACGATGGTTACCACGATGGTCACCACGATGGTCACCACGATGGTCACCACGATGGTCACCATGATGGTCACCACGATGGTCACCACGATGGTCACCACGATGGTTATCACGATGGTCGCCACGATGGTCACCACGGTGGTCACCACGGTGGTCACCACGGTGGTCACCACGGTGGTCACCACGGTGGTTATCAAGGTGGTCACCACGGTGGTCACCACTGTGGTCACCACGGTGGTCACCACGGTGGTCACCACGGTAGTCACCACGGTGGTCACCACGGTGGTTATCACGGTGGTCACCACGGTGGTCACCACGGTGGTCACCACGGTGGTCACAACGATGGTTATCACGGTGGTTATCACGGTGGTCACCACGGTGATCGCCACGATGGTGGTGGTGGTGGATTATTAACCCGTAACTTTAGTTACTTAGGAAAAATCAATGGTGTCAGGATGTCATCAAAAACTCAGTCTTATTTCCGTTGAGTTTTTCAGTTCTCTCAACCCATTATGCTGTCTGTAATAGTTCGTTGATAACCAGGATCTATCTACTACTCCACTTATCTCCCTCCTGTCCACCGTTACTTTGCAACAGCTATACATTGTGCTTGTATCTTTGGCTAACTTCTTAAGGATCCTGGATCGATACCTGTATGAGTGATAACACTGAATATGTTTCCTGTAATCAGTTGTTCCAGCTTACGTAGCAGTAAGTAGGTACCATAGCATTAACAGGCTGTTGTGGGTGGCATCTTGGGCAAGAGAATCAAAGGACAACTACAAAAAAAAATATGAGACACTGGCTTTCTTGGTGTTTCTTGAATTATTGTCGTGCCTGTTAATGATATGAGTAAAATATTGCTCTTCTTACCTACGTTCAGAAACTAATCACAAAATGAGATAAATCACTTACAGCAGAGAAGGACCAGCATGAACCACACTGCCCCTGGTCCTTGACACCGGTGACAGCACCTTCGGTACGCCAGTCAACAGTAGCTGCCCTGGGAGCATCTTCCTTGACTTGGTAGACGGTGTGGGGCTCAGTGTGAGTTCCTCGCTTGTATCCCTTCATCACAGCGTTGAACTCTTCATTTGTCTGTCATATTCCAACAATATTAACAAATGTAGTAAACAGATGCTTGTATCCAAAGATGCAGGTTATCTCTGTTCAACAAAGATGCAGGTTGTAGAACAAACTCTTATCTCTGTTCAACAAAGATGCAGGTTGTATAACAAGCTCTAATCTCTGTTCAACAAAGCGTTACCTCAATTAAAGCTTCTTCCTTAACTTGTATTTTGGACTTTTACAACCTGTACAAATTGCATCACTGTAAACTACACGAACATTTCACCCGTCCATTGAAGTTGTATTTATTAAATATAACACACTAGCAAGCTCCTTCCAAGAAACTCATCATTAATAATTAATTTCATCTTTAAATCACTTGCAAAGGCAACTGTTCAAATAGAAATTTCTTGCTTAACTGTTAGTAATAATTTATCACGAATTATATACACACAGACGGATGTAAGCAGGAGTCTACTGGCAGGTCTGCATATACTATTGTTGCTGTGTCTCTAGACAAGAACAACAGAAACTATATTGAGTTTGGCGAGATTACCAACAGGTCGTCTGTCTACTATGAAAACCGAATTGTTTGCCATCCTATTGGTGCTAAAGTTAACCTAAGAGACTGATCTTGACACTGTGACTATTACTGATTCTCTCATTACTGAAGGCTCTTATTACGCGTAATGACTAACTACATGCTCATTGGAGAAGCCGAATACAGATACTTAAAAAAATAGAGAAAAAAAGAAGTAATGTGCAAAGGTTATGGATTTCATCATGATAAAGTAGATAAGTTTGCCCAAAAAAATTCTCCGAAGAGAAATGTAAAAAATAACTTTGGTGTGTTTATGTCTATCATCATAAATTACGTTAAAAGAGAAGTAAATGATGAAACTGAAGGTAATATGAATACATTTAGAAGCGTGAGAAATTATGCTTTGGAACAAGTACTTCTGGTATTTTGGAAGACACACTCAGATAATCAAACCAAATGCAAGTATTTGGTCATCATTATTGTCATTATCTTGAATATTATGTATTTACTTTTTCACCTTTTGAGGAATATACAGAAAGACAGTATAATAATAACCTATGTGATAAATCGGGACATTTTTTAATGAGAATACGATACCCGTAATATTAAACAGATTTCCTAATATTTCTTGCAATAGATAAGTCAACTTATCGCTGCCACTTCGGCAGCGAAATAAAATCACTTGTTTCCAATATGTCCTTTAATTTAAATAAATATATAATATCTCACTATGTATTGTATATGAAAGATAAATTATATAAATCTTTGGTCACTATCAAGTGTAGGAGCTTCACCTAACAATATTTATTTTCAGTTTTATAATACAAACAATGTATCCATTACCAAGTAATGATATTTATTACTTGTGTAAATTGTTAGTTTGGGAGATATTAGCCACATACTTTATATACTTTTATGAAAAGAAAGTTTTTTTTTTATTAACACACTGGCCAATTCCCACCAAGGCAGGGTGGCCCGAAAAAGAAAAACTTTCACCATCATTCACTCCATCACTGTCTTGCCAGAAGGGTGCTTTACACTACAGTTTTTAAACTGCAACATTAACACCCCTCCTTCAGAGTGCAGGCACTGTACTTCCCATCTCCAGGACTCAAGTCCGGCCTGCCGGTTTCCCTGAACCCCTTCATAAATGTTACTTTGCTCACACTCCAACAGCACGTCAAGTATTAAAAACCATTTGTCTCCATTCACTCTTATCAAACACGCTCACGCATGCGTGCTGGAAGTCCAAGCCCCTCGAACACAAAACCTCCTTTACCTCCTCCCTCCAACTTTTCCTAGGCCGACCCCTACCCCGCCTTCCTTCCACTACAGATACACTCTTGAAGTCATTCTGTTTCGCTCCATTCTCTCTACATGTCTGAACCACCTCAACAACCCTTCCTCAGCAGTCTGGACAACAGTTTTGGTAATCCCGCACCTCTTCCTAACTTCCAAACTACGATTTCTCTGCATTATATTCACACCACACATTGCCCTCAGACATGACATCTCCACTGTCTCCAGCCTTTTCCTCGCTGCAACATTCATCACCCATGCTTCACACCCATATAAGAGCCTTGGTAGAACTACACTCTCATACATTCCCCTCTTTGCCTCCAAGGACAAAGTTCTTTGTCTCCACAGACTCCTAAGTGCACCACTCACCCTTTTCCCCTCATCAATTCTATGATTCACCTCATCTTTCATAGACCCATCCGCTGACACGTCCACTCCCAAATATTTGAATACATTCACCTCCTCCGCACTCTCTCCCTCCAATCTGATATCCAATCTTTCATCACCTAATCTTTTTGTTATCCTCATAACCTTATTCTTTCCTGTATTCACTTTTAATTTTCTTCTTTTGCATACCCTACCAAATTCATCCACCTATCTCTGCAACTTCTCTTCAGAATCTCCCAAGAGCAGAGTGTCATCAGCAAAGAGCAACTTTGACAACTCCCACTTCATGTGTGATTCTTTATCTTTTAACTCCATGCCTCTTGCCAAGACCCTCGCATTTACTTATCTTACAACCTCATTTATAAATATATTAAACAACCACGGTGACATCACACATCCTTGTCTAAGGCCTACTTTTACTGGGAAATAATCTCCCTCTTTCCTACATACTCTAACTTGAACCTCACTATCCTCGTAAAAACTCTTCACTGCTTTCAGTAACCTACTTCGTACACCATACACCTGCAACATCTGCCACATTGCCCCGCTAACCACCCTGTCATACGCCTTTTCTAAATCCATAAATGCCACAAAGACCTCTTTAGCCTTATCTAAATACTGTTCACTTATATGTTTCACTGTAAACACCTGGTCCACACACCCCCTACCTTTCCTAAAGCCTCCTTGTTCGTCTGCTATCCTATTCTCCGTCTTACTCTACCATTCACTTCACCAGGTATACTCAACAGACTTATCCCCCTATAATTTTTGCACTCCTTTTTGTCCCCTTTGCCTTTATACAAAGGAACTATGCATGCTCTCCGCTAATTCCTAGGTACCTTACCCTCTTCCATACATTTATTAAATAATTGCACCAACCACTCCAAAACTATATCCCCACCTGCTTTTAACAATTCTATCTCTATCCCATCAATCCCAGCTGCCTTACCCCCTTTCATTTTACCTACTGCCTCACAAACTTCCCCGACACCCAAAATTGGCTCTTCCTCACTCCTAAAAGATGTTATTCCTCCTTGCCCTATACACGAAATCACAGCTTCCCTATCTTCATCAGCATTTAACAATTCTTCAAAATATTCCTTCCATCTTCCCAATACCTCTAACTCTCCATTTAATAACTCTCCTCTCCTATTTTTAACTGACAAATCCATTTGTTCTCTTGGCTTCCTCAAATTGTTAATCTCACTCCAAAACTTTTTCTTATTTTCAACAAAATTTGTTGATAACATCTCACCCACTCTCTCATTTGCTCTCTTTTTACATTGCTTCACCACTCTCTTAACCTCTCTCTTTTTCAACATACACTCTTCCCTCCTTGCATCACTTCTACTTTGTAAAAACTTCTCATATGCTAACTTTTTCTCCCTTACTAATCTCTTTACATCATCATTCCACCAATCGCTCCTCTTCCCTCCCACACCCACTTTCCTGTAACCACAAACTTCTGCTGAACACTCTAACACTACATTTTTAAACCTACCCCATACCTCTTCGACCCCATTGCCTATGCTCTCATTAGCCCATCTATCCTCCAATAGCTGTTTATATCTTACCCTAACTGCCTCCTCTTTTAGTTTATAAACATTCACCTCTCTCTTCCGTGATGCTTCTATTCTCCTTGTATCCCATCTACCTTTTACTCTCAGTGTAGCTCATGAGAGTCAAGTGAGTAATAATACAATTAGACAACAAACAACATAGAGAAGACTAATACCTAGCGAGTATATTCGTGTTAAATTACACCTATTGAAATGATTACTATGATAACGCCAGTTATAGAACCGAGTAAATGAATAGCGAAGTATATGTGAGTAAAACTGAAGAAAAATGATTTCTACAGTTACGTTTGAGCTAGGTTACCAGTGGAGGGTTTGGTTTCATTGACGCTGGGCTGACCTTTTAGTTCAGTGTTTGGATGAGAGTTAAGTGATTTTGTAATGCTTTAGACAACAAACAACAAAGCTAAGCCTAATTACCTAGCTAACCTATATATCCTAAAAATAAACCTTTAATTTTTGTTACTGGCACATAAATTACAAGTTATGACAACCAGAACTATATGAAAGCGAACTAAATGTATAAACCTGAAGAAAAAATGATAGCCCTCAGTTTTTTGCAGCTAAATTAATGGGTTGTTTACTTGAAGAGGCAACATTGATAAGTTCATTTACTTGTTCAGAGGATTTTGTTTTGGTCTTAGACTGAGGCTCAACCCAACCCAAACTAAGCTTCTTTACCTAGCTTAACTAAGTTTTCACCGAAACGAAATCTTGATATTTTTTTTTTGGGGACCATAAAATTTATATTCATGAGTACAAATGATATGGTGAAACCAAATAAACATAAAATGTATAACTTTCTAATTCAAAACTAAATTATAGAATCCCATTCTTTTCTACTTATGAAGGGAATTATAAGTTTTACTTGAGAGATAGAATGTAAGTACATACAAGTAGTCACTTGGTCACTAGAGGAGGAAGGCTGCCCGTCTGGTCACTATGACTTCATTTGGATCATCAGCAGAGTCAAGGTTTTCCTCGAAGTAGGTGACTTTGCGATATTGGGTCTCTCCTGCGCCCACTAAGGAGGTGGGTGATTTTGGCCTGGGTAGGTAAGATACTTATATGTAGGGGGTACGTATCACTAAGAGTAGCTGTGTGTAGACCTAAAAGATGATAATGAAACTAAGGAGTTTACTTTGTTTTCCCATAGCAATAGTGATTGGAATCAATAGGAGGTTGCGTGTGTCAACTAGAGGATGGTGATGTTGTAAAAGGGGAGGTATCGTTGATACAAATATGATG